GGGGGAGGAGATCTGTAGACATCGGGAAGACACCCACACACACATACGTGGTAGAGACTCGAAGACCAGCTGGCCAGCAGGAGACGTGTGCACATGTGCAGTGGAGCTGGGCTGGGGCAATGGCTGGCGTGCCCGCAAAGAGGGCTCTGGGTGGCACCTGTGGCATGCATGCCATAGGTTCATCATCACGGCATTATAACATTATATATATATATATATATGTTACCTATACAATGCCTGTTAAGGGATGGGGTGGCTCAGTGGCTAAGACACTGAGCTTGTTGATTAGAAGGTTGGCAGTTCGGCGGTTCAAATCCCTAGTGCTGTGTAAACGGAGTGAGCTCCTGTTACTTGCTTCAGCTTCTGCCAACCTAGCAGTTTGAAAGCACGTAAAAAAGCATGTAAACTGCAAGTAGAAAAATAGGAACCACCTTTGATGGGAAGGTAACAGCGTTCCATGCGCCTTTGGCATTTAGTCATGCTGGCCACATGACCATGGAGATGTCTTCATACAGTGTTGGCTCTTCGGCTTTGAAACGGAGATGAGCACTGCCCCCTAGAGTCGAGAACAACTAGCACATATGTGCGAGGGGAACCTTTACCTTTACCTTACAATGCCTGTTAGACTTCAACTTTTTAATAATGATATTTAATATCTTAAATGATTGTATATATGTGTGAACATTAAGGTCAGCATGGCTTCTTGATGAATGTATCTCAAAGTGCCTTCTCTGCTATGATGGTCAGCCAGACTCATGTCAACGTTATTTCTTTCTGGAGCCACTTGAAGATTTGGCTTTTTATTATGCTGTTGGAACTTAATAGCTACTGCCTGTCTATGGTTAATTATTCTTCCTAAAAATCTATGCCTCTCCACTATTAATCTGAAATCACCACAGTTTTATTATTTTAATATCTTTCATTTTATTTTATTTTTAACATCTATTTAATGACTTTAAACCCCCTGAGTTTCTTGAGTTATATGGGTTCTAAATAACACCTTAGCTATCATCTCTAAGCCCTGAATCAACTTCTGAATAGGCTACTTAATGGAAATTTGCTTGGCTAAATTTGGTTGAGTGCTTTCTTGTTGGGTGTGTTGAAAACTTTAGAGTGCCATCTTGTGGCCTCTGACATTTTGCCTTTTTGTTGTTGGTTTTTTTGTTTTATTTTTTTGCACTGGTGCTTGTACCATGGAATATCCTCTCCCCTGAAATTTGTCAGGTAGCTTCTATTATATCTTCTAAATGTCCATTAAATATTTGTCTTCCTGATGTAGAAGTTAGATCAGAGGAAATATGCAACTGGTATGTTTCCAGGTGCAATTCAAGATGCCAGAATAGAATAGAATAGAATAGAATAACAGAGTTGGAAGGGATCTTGGAGGTCTTCTAGTCCAACCATGCTTAGGCAGGAACCCTACACCCATGATGGCGAACCTATGGCACACATGCCAGAAGTGGCACATAGAGCCATCTCTGTGACCATGCAAGCCATCGTCCTAGCTCAGCTCTACCCTGTATGTACACACTTCCCGCCAGCCAGTTGATTTTCGGATCTCTGCCACACATGCGGGAGATGTGCACGCAGGTATGTGGGGCGGGGATGCGCTGCTCCCCCTGCACCCCATTTTTGATCCCAGGAGGTTCTAGGGCGGCCTGCTAGGCCCAAAATGGGCACAGGGGGTGTGGTGCCCTCCCCCCCGTGACCCATTTTTGGTCTTAGGAGGCTACAGGGAGGTGTGCTAGGCCTAAAACAGGGCGTGAGACGGGGTTTGTGCACACATGTGCAGGGGTCATGCATGCATGCGCAGGGGGCAGGACACATGGGTGTATTGTGCGCACGTTGCATTATGGGTATGGGCATGTGCTTTCGGCACGCAAGGACAAAAAGGTTAGCCGTCACTGCCCTATACCCTTTCAGACAAATGGTTGTCCAATCTCTTCTTTAAAACATCCAGTGTTGGAGAGTGATGGTTTTCACCTTTAAAGCCCTACAAGGCTTGGGAACCAATTACCTGAGAGATCACCTTTTCCCAAGAGTCTACCCATCCATTAGATCTAGCAGAATGGACTGCTACAGATATGTTAACCATAGAGTTACCAGCTGGGAGGGATTGAAGATGGGCTTTTTCCACAGTGGCCCCTGCTCTATGGAACATCCTCCCTTTGGAGGTCAGAATGGCCTCAACCCTGTTAGCCTTTTATGAGGCCCTAAATTCCTGGCTATGTTCACAGCCTGAGGTGCTGAAGGTATCAAGGGCCTCATTTCCTAGCTGGCCAAGTATCTCAGTTGCTTTGTATATTTCTTTTGGCTGTCTTTATTATTTTCGGTTGTTTTAACTGTAGCATATTATTTGAATTGCAATCAAAGTCAGTGACTGAAATGGGCAGTTATACAAACTAAATGAAGGAATCTATATATGTAAAAGCAGCTGTGGATGTGGATGTTCCAACATAACTCTGGAACGCCTCGAGCAATTTCAACCAAATTTGGTACACAATGGAAACAAATTACTCTCTGGAAACAAATACTGTGGGGGTAAGACACCCCTAAAATCCCCCGGGGTGTGTATTCTGTTAAGATACAGCCTGTTGTGCGTTAAAATTTCTACTTTACTACTGTAAAATGGCTTCTACTGTGCAGTGCAGTGGAGTTGCCATGTTAATGGCTTCACAGTATTCCACAAGAGGCTCCCTCTGATAAGGGGGAAAAATCCAACATTAGAAATTACGTTTGGTCTGGACACTTCCCCCCTATAAATAAATACCTGGGCAAAGCCAGGTTATCAGCTAGTAAATAAATACATTGATGCACCTCAGTGGTCTGAAAACCAGATCTTTTGATGAGTTGAAGTGATGACGATTACACCCCCTGTTCCTGAAATTGTCCTTTTCTTCTTTCTTCTGGGCTGGCAGTATCCCTTGGCTTTTGCTCTCAATTTCAGTAGATGGATCTGCAGACACCCCGAGCTGTACAGACTTCAAGCCAACATGAATCTGTCAGAGCTTACAGTCACAGCGGAACACATAACTAAGGGAGTGCGGGTCCTGGTGAGTGCCCTGTGTTGTATCTTCTTAATCTTTGGATTTCTTTCTTAGTGTTCCTTCCACAGTGTGAGAGTCATTGTACTAAATAGTTCAGTTAATAGACTATTATAGTAATATTCTTGTTGCTGAGGTTGAGCTTAGTTCAGAGCTAGGACTGTTTGTTCCTCTCCGTTGCCTTGAAATTAATTTGTAATCTTCTCTAAAGTCAAGTTCTTAAGTTTCTCCCCCGGATTTGTAAGGAAAGCATTTTAAAAAAAAATAGTAAGGGTTCAGCAAACTTGGCATATGTAGCTTACTTCTTCCATGATTTTTTGCAGAGAACACAATAAGTGTGTGTATCTCAAAACAACAGTATTTTTTTCTGTCATGTAACTATAGCTGAAAGGAAAAAAAATACCCTCTTGTTTTGAGATACACAAGCTTATTGTATTCTCTGCAAATGATCATGGAAGCTACATATGCAAAAGACTCTGAGCGTGTCGATCAGAAAGGTCAGTAGTTTGGCAGTTCGAATCCCTAGTGCCAGGTAACAGAGTGAGCTCCCGTCACTTGTCCCAGCTTCTGCCAACCTAGCAGTTTGAAAGCACGTAAAAAATGCAAGTGGAAAAATAGGGAACACCTTTGGTGGAAAGGTAACAGCTTTCTGTGCACCTTCGGCGTTAGTCATGCTGGCCACATGACCAGATGTCTTTGGACAACGCTGGCTCTTGGGCTTTGAAACGGAGATGAGCACCACCCCCTAGAGTCAGGAACGTATGTGTGAGGGGAACCTTTATCTTTACATTAACCATAGCTACTACTATCCTTTGCAATTTGCATTGGATGAAAGGAAACTTTTTCATGATAGATATTAAGTTTATGTCACTGGTGGGTTTCAAATTTTTTTAGAACCTCTTCTGTAGGTGTGCCCTGCTTTGTGGGAGTGGCCTGCTGGCCATGTGACTGGGTGGGCATGGCCAATTTGCAAAATGTGGTGAAACTCACTTAACAACGCTCTTGCTTAGCAACCAAAATGTTGGCATTTGAAGCACGCAAGTCTTAAAGCCATCAAATTACAAGACATTTGCACCCTTAACCCTTTAGAAAAAAACTCCCAGGGGTGTTCAAACTTGACAGCTTTAAGACTTGCACACTTCAAATGCCAGAGTTTCTGAGCCAATATTTTGGTTGCTAAGCAAGAGCATTTTTAAGT